AAAATTAGTCCAATATATTTAGAACCTATTCAAGACCAACAAACAAACGAACTCTTTATTATATCTGTCCTATCTTATAAACCTATCTTTTATACCTATCTTATAAATCGAACTATTGTGAGCTTTATGTATATATATACCTACGAGTTTTAAAAGTTGTTATTTTGTGACTTTTAATTCATTATTACTTTTTCTCTATCAGCATTTGTCTGTCCAGTATTAGACATATGCCTCCCCCAACTCCTCCCAGCGTGATCTGCAGGTTGTCTTACGCATCCATTATCCATTATTTATTATATACATAAAATATAAATATTTCTTTCTGTTGTACTGACTGATTGTTGATTGATTAATACTTTATTGCACTTAAAACAAACATAAAACAAAAATAAATGAACATATATGCAAAAGGCGGCCTTATTGCTAGGGTAGCAATTTCTACCAGGCAACCTTTGGCTAACAGAAACCATACCAACCAAGAACAAATATAACGGGTTAGTGCATTAAATTAATAAATATACTTAACGAGAAAAAGAGAGGAAAAAAGGAACACATTAACGGAGAGACAAAGTACTAAAATGAAGAAAGATCCAGCTTGAGGAAATAGTCCTTAACTTGTTTCACGAATGAGTCCCTAGACTGCGCACGTCTATTAACCATAGGCAAAAAGTTTCACAATATAATGGTTTTGACGAAAAATGACTTCGCTACAAAATCAGTCGAGTGGGATGGGATAACTAAGGAAAGGTTGTGGTAAGACCGTAGATCTCGGATAAAATTAGTGGAGGAAAAGATAAAGCGCTCTTTAAGATAAAGATATGGATGAAAGAGAATGGAATAAAGAAGTGGCAGTATCTTCTACGAGAAATAGGTGGCCAATGAAGTTGAGAACGGTAGTTTCTTAAATAATCGAAAAAATTAAAACAAAAATAATGTTGGTTTAAAAAAAGTAAATCAAAATCTTCCGTAGTAGGGTAAAAAAGAGAGATCTGTAAGCAAACAAATAACTTTCGTAAAAGACTTAATGAAATTTTTGTTCAAACTGTAATTTGTTATAAAATAGAATTACGAAATTTTTTGTATAATATAAGAAATAGGTATATATTTATTAATTAATTAATAATCTACCCACGAGTAGATATAATAATACCTCGATAATATAGCTATATGTCAATCAATCGATAATTTACATTTTTTTTATTTGAGTTTATTCGTAAGCTTTAGTATCTATTTTTGTAATGACCTTCTTTGCTCTTCATGATCTCGTCTGCGATATGACAGGTTATAATTTTGTTAATACTGACCAATTTTCGTAGAATCTGGTTAGATCATTTGACAAATCAATATAACTCGTATTTTCAATGTGGCAAGCTTTATATTTATATCTTGTTTTACAAATATTTTATTTGCAAAGTTCAGTTGATAATGGTTTAGTATTTAAAAAGATCTAGGGCACGAGAACCATTGCTCTCAGCCTGAGGCTTAAACATCGAGCCAAAATACGAAAATTATCATCAATATGCCTGCCAATCACGATTCGCTTTTTTATTATTTTAATCAGACAGTAAATCATCGTATTATAAGTTTTGAAGGTAACGTTGGCTCATCAATTACAAATTTATTTTATAACTTAAGAATGGCAAATTGTCATTTAGGGTTGGTGCAAATATGACAGAAGATCTATCATGACAGAATATAATGATAAAAAATGAAGCTAAGTTTGTTGTGCCATAGCTATTGGTAAAAACATACGTAAGCTCTTCGGACGCAATAATGTTTCAATTCATTTTGAGAAAATGACGTCTAAGGAAGTATGATTTTTTTCCACTTATCTTTCATGTAAAGCTCTAAAATATCAGAATACATCGAAATCACGGAAAGCAACGTTTGTGTATCTACTCATTATTGCTTATCATCATCTCTATGATTAGAACCATAAATACGTAGGATTTTCTGTCTTTCAGTTATAAAGAGGTAAAGTTTCGAACTCTGTTTGTTTGTAATCTTCTGATATACTAATCCAAACATGAAAATTATTTCACCTACGGGAATCTGTATTAATAATAATAATAATAAAAACTTTATTTGCATTTCCAACGACACATTCAAATTATAACTGTTTAATATACTAAAAGAAACAAAACAAATAAACCAGAAAGTAACAGAAATAAAATAAAAACAAGAAATATGTCGGGTTGTGTGCCGCAGCAATGCAAAAGGGTCATAGCTCAGGATACGATTTGCCTACAAGGAGACAAATCCCTGATATTCTGCCATAACCCTGAGGAGCATAAGACGCCAAAGCGCCGTATATTAAAGAAAAAAAAAAACAAAAAATTTCGCATTAGAGAGAAAAAAAATCATAAAAAGAATATATAAATATACAGTACCGAAATAACAAAAAAGTATATAAACATACATCTCTCTTATATTTTATGACACGAAATAAACAAAAAAGTTACGATATTCGAAAACACAGTGGACTTACATATATTAAATTAAATATATACATATACATACACATATACATACACACACACACACATATATATAAATATACACATAAAATCACTCGCATATATCCATAAACATAAGAGAAAATACGCATCACACTTCACAATCTAAATGGCAAAATCCGTCACCAAGTACCCCCTAGGTATACCCACACCCTGCTTTTCTAAAAGAAATTCTTTTAAATGATTTTCAGAGTCACTTTTGAAGTAGATATACCCAGAGGTGGTGGTGAGTTGTTCCAGCATTTGGTAGCTAGGTAACGGAAACTACCAGTGAAAGCAACTGTCTTGTGAAGGCGACTCTCCAGTAAACATCTATTAGCCCTTGCTCCATATTTGTTGAGACGACGAAATCGAAGCTTAGCAAAAAGATAAGTTGGCTTCTGGAACTTGATAATGTCGAATAGAAGGCTAGCGAGGTGCAGGTGTCTACGCGAAGTCATATTTAACATCGAAGCCTTATTCAAATAGGTGTAATGTGACTTCTAGGAGGTATTGTGAAACAGAAACGACAACAGGCATTCTGCACTCGCTAAACAAGACGACGAGTCCCTGAAAGCAGGTGTGGACCATACACTAGATCTCCATAGTTCAGTTTTGACAGTATCAATGATTCACATATATTAATACGAACTTTTTCGTCTAGAAGATTGCGAATCTTATAAAGCACTTTCAGCCCATAAAAACGGTTTCTAACTAAATTCAGTATATGGGTTTCAAAACGCAAATAACTATCCATAACTATGCCCAAGTTCCTAGCCTCTTTTACCTGGTCAATGTGTTGCCCTATAACTTTGATATTTGGCTTATTTTTCATGACCCGGCAAACTTGTGACTTGTGAACCAAGAATCATATATTTAGTTTTGCTAGAATTAAGTACTAAGCCATTATCCGCTGCCCACACTGCAACAGCATTTAGATCCTTATTCATTTTTGCAGTTGCCTCAAGAAATTCACGTGGATGAGCCGATATATATAGCTGGACGTCGTCCGCATATAAATGATAGCTACAATATTCAATTACTCTTGTTATATCGGCCGTATATAATATAAAAAGTAAAGGTCCCAATATAGAACCCTGAGGAACTCCGCGATCCATACGTTTTGACTCGGATAGTAGAAAACTACCATCCTCCCTTGCAAGCCTGACCGATTGGTAACGTTGGTTGAGGTATGATTTGAACCAACTCAACGAAGTATCTCTAACACCGTAATAATGAAGTTTGGATAACAGAAGGGACACATTCAAACAATCAAATGCCCGGGAGAAGTCCAAAAGCGTTAGGCAAGTACTGTTACCTGCATCTTGCTGCGCAAGGACATCATCAACCACATTCAGCAAAGCCGTCACCGTGCCCATACCCTTGCGAAAACCAGACTGTACCGTAGGCAAAATATTATTTGACTCAATAAATTTACTCAACTGGATATGAACACATTATTAGCGAAATATGTATAGCGGGTAACATAGGCCATAATATCGAGTGAAATCGCGGAGCAGCTAGTTCATAACATAATTAATGTTCGAAATACTGAACTCGCTTGCAAAGTATTACAAATAAAGTAAAAGTACTGCCTTAAGCTCCCGGCCTAAAAAAAAGTTAGAATTATATCAAGATATGAAAAATTAGATTTGTAGGAACAGCTTATTTAATTATAAATTAAATTATGTTTTGATTATAAATTTTTCCTCTACCTACGAAGGTCGACTATTCAATGGAGGACTCCGTACATATATTAAATCTTTTCTTAGAACACAAATAACTGAATACAGTTACGATATCTGAACTTGTATATATTTAGATATATCATCTAAACTACTAAACTATATCTATTCTTGTATCTGAATGACAGTTATATACAACTACGCATAAATCGGTTCAGTGTTTAAATATCTTAAAGACGAAGAAACAACTAAGGTTTATGCCACTTTGATCACGTGGGTTATCCAATATCATATTTATTTATCACGCAATCTCCACTGGTAAATCACCCAGGAGAATTTTTTTTTTATATAATTTTTAGTTTCTTCACCGCGCTAATAAAATAATAGTGTTTGTGAATTTCCTGATAATTTCCCGAATGTAAATCACCTGCTCTATATCAAAATGTACAGGATCAGAGAAAATTATTATTTGTCAAAATAAAAGACAGAACACAGCGTACACCAAAAATCACTAAATTTGTCATCATCGGGTTGATATTCATTTCTTTGTACAAAACACTGGTTACTAAAAATAAAATATTGAAAACATCATCTTTCTAAGCGTTCAATGACAGCCAATGCGTGTACAACTTAAATATTTTTACTATAGATACAATCACTAAGTTTTTGATCACCCGGGTGATAGATTTTAAGACATGAAAAGGAGGTATTTGAAAAACCAGATGACCAAAGTGGAATAAAATTGATAAATGAAAGATTTTCAAAGGTTAATCATCAAACCGGTTTTATTTATTTTAATATAATATTTATTTTGTTACAGATTTGACGAGTCTTGGATCCAGTCAATTGTAAACAGGTAAGACATAATAAAATATCATTTATAAACTAAGAGTAGGTTGTGACGGTATTTGGATGAAAAATCTGAGGGTGGTTGAAAAGTCATCCTCGGATGCATAGGTGTAGACTTATGTTCATAATGAGGTAAAGATTTTAAGGATATCATCACAAAATAATCTTAATATTTTCGTGCCAGTGTTAGTGCCATCTATTAATAAATCTAATAAAACAACGTCCTACCTTCATGTATAAATATGCAAAACCTCTTTGTGTTATACTTATTTAATTTGGCATCAAAATTATCTATGATGGATTTGACAATACTTACTTCAAGGAGTAAATATACAAATATCTTCTCACGTTGTCGGTAGAGCGTTGACATCACTTATGTAAATGAAATTTCGAACTTGATTTTTTAATATTTTTCGTGTTATCTATTTTTGAAGTAATTATTTATTTACGCGAGGTTATGGTAAAGTATCATGTGTTATAAATTGTTCATGACATTGGACGATATAACGTTGGTTGGACAAGTGGAAACAGAAATTCCAGTGTTAGCATCATGTTGAACGAATGGTTGCATCGAGAGGCAAAAGAAAACGCAACGACTTGTTTTCAGGTATTTTTTATGATCCAAAAAAAAGGAGAAAAATTTCAGAAAATCATAAACCGAAAATAAAAATTTAACAACGTGTTGTCTGTAGACCGCGGTATTCAATTGACTTCGATTTCGTGGGCATTATGTTCATTTTAATTGAATCAAATATATACTAAATCGAAAATGAAGTCAATCTATGGGAATGCTGCCGGGGATGAAACCTTACTTTAAAGATGATCAAATACTAAAATTATTCCTGATACATGTTACTAAGCAATTCCTTTGTCAATCACAAAGTATTTTGGGAGAGCTTAAAGGAGAAGATCTTGCCTGATAATGCTAAATGTGATAGCCCACCGGATTGTTTGGGTGATCCAAATACTATCAATGATCACTTATATATTACATATTGTAAATTTCACCGATTAAATGCTTCAGCCCTCCCTTTTAAGTTACACAATGTCACTGAGGTCTCATCAGCCCTTTTATGTTCCCACTGCAGAGGCTTAGGCCTTCCTTATGGATGGTTAAGGAGGATGTGCCATGACCCTCCACGCTGGCCCAATGCGGATTGGAGGGTATTAACGACTGTAAATGCATCCGAGACCAACGGTTTAACGTTAATTGCATCGGGGTCTCTGTTATTTATAATATACACTACTGATCTATCCTTGTCAATTGAAAATTGTAAACATTGTTTCTACGCTGATAATGTGCAGTTATTTATAGCCGAGAATCCAGCTCGGATGATGGAAGGCGTCTCCAAATTAAATGATGACTTAAATAAGTGTGGTCAAAAAATAATTGTCTCATATTGAATCCTATTAAGTCCAAGTTCATGATTTAAGGCACCAAATAACAGACAAACAAGATGCTAACCGTTAAGGTTTTGGATAACAATATTGAATTAGTTAATTAAACTAGGATTCTAGGAATAGTTCTTGACAGTCATTTGAGCTTTTAAAGTCATGTATTGGGTCTTTGGTTAGAAACTGTTTCTATCGCTTAAGGGTTCTGTAAAGGATACGACATCTTCTCTCCGAAAAATCACGAATATATACACTGTGAATCTCTTATTTTATCCAAATTATGAGGTGATCTAGTGTATGGGTATATAGAACCCGGGAAATCATACAACGTGTTCAGAATGCATGTGCTCGCTTCTGTTTTCACATACCCCCACGACATGATGTTTCATCTTTTCTAATAAAGGCGGTTATGTTGAATATGGAGTCACGTGGGCGTTTGCATCTTGCAATGCTTATGGGCGATTTAATAAAGTCGAAAAACCCGGAGTATATTCAAAACTAAAGCATGTCCGGTGTGCAAAGATATATACGGGCTGCCTTGGTGATGCATCACTGGCAGTTTCCGTTATCAGGCTACTTAATGGTGGAATAATATACCTCCGCCTATATGATGTATTACATGTAGACGAAATTTTAAAATGCATTTGAGATCTAAATTGCTATAGTTCCCGTAAATTAGTCGCTTGAAAGTGATGGTAGTGGTAGTAATATTAACGGATTCTCTCTTTTATATTTTCTTTCTAATTTAAACCAATGTGGCTCTGACTTTGATTGATCCTGACTAAATGAATCGAATTAATTTATTACTTTATTTATTAATCTATAGAAGTTAAACACTCAGTACATATTTTTGTTAGTAAGTAGGTATTTATTAGAACTATTGTAGGTTCTAGTTAGTATTGTAATTCTATTATCAATTTCTTTGTAAATCTTCAAATTTTTATATTTACAGAGCGATCATAAATAATTAGGGTAAAAACTGAAAACCAGTGCTTTGCTTCTTGAGTTTAATACTCACTGAGTTTTCGCCCATATGCATCGCTGCGGTATATATACTGTTTGATTGTTTTGTTTTAGTTACATCTTGTTCTGTACTATTTATTATTTTGTGTAAGCGCGATGCAAATAAAGATTTTATCTATCTATCTAGGTGAATGAATTTTAAAATCGGAGTAGAGTATCGGAACATTTTCAATGCAAACTAACGATGAAATCTTTCCTCTTTATAATATTAGTATAGACACTTAATTGTGAAGTGGCAGTGCAGTCAACCTTGACATCTAAGGCGTAAGTGTTGCGTGTACATAATTAGTAATTACGGGCGCCGCCTTATCCGCATTAAAACTTGGATCTTCAATTCGAGGCAAGTAGTTTAAAAAAAACTCTTCCTTCATCAGTACTTCTTTGTTCAAAATAAATATCTTCGCTGTATAATTCAGATCAATAATCTGTACGAAATTTTCTGCAATCTATTGTATTTTTATGATAGTTACTACAATAAAAGACCGGAATGCACTTATTTCGGGTGAGTGTTTTCTCGTTTTATATTTATAGCCATTTCTACATATCACTGTCGAAGTTGTTTTGAGTACAATCTGTATGATATTTTAATTTTTATTTCTACAAGTAGGTAAGTCGTAATATGAATTGATAGACGATTGTTTGTTAATTATAAAGTCTACAGTAGTTAGCTATGATATGACGCCTACAGTAGTTAGCTATGATATGACCTTTATATAGTTATATATAGAAATGCTCTGGGTTTTCCACGTGTCCAGAAATAATGTAATTACATCATTTGATAGATGAACAAAAAATCATTCCCAAATTACGAATCGGAGAAGAAATATTAGTTAATATTTTTGGGATTAAAATTTTATAATTTTTCGCTATTTTTCTGTGACTTCGTCCACATAAATTAGCCTATATCGACCGCGTATGATGAAACTTTCTGTAAGTAAAATAATTTCAAAATAGGCCCAGTAGTTTTAGACGTTATTCGATACAAATATACAACAATAATTTTTTCCGCTTTATAATATTAGCATAGATAAAGGTATGATTCCTTTCAAATACTAGCAGTCTCTAAACTAAGTCGTGGTTAAACACACTAGCTCTACTAAAACTATGAATATTTCTTATTTACTAAGGAACCTAGAAAAGTATAAAAATTTATCAACACAAAAAGATAGTGAGTAATACAAAACATGGTTCGGAATAGCTAAATAAAAGAAAATACATCGTTTTTAGGGTTCCGTAGTAAACAACGTACCCTTATAATTTCGCCATGTCCGTCTGTCCGTCCATCAGTACGCGCTTTAGCTCAAGAGCTATTGGTACTAGAAAGTTGTAATTGGGCGTTAATTAGACCGATATTTCAGTTAAGAAAATTTTCGAAAAAAAGGCATTTAAATTACCTCCCCTACTAATGATATTTTTTTTGTCGTCCCCATAGTGCGTGGCAACATTAGTTAGGTCTTTCAAAAACATTTTAAATGTGAAAGGCCGTTTTTCGATTAGGTAAACCTTTTGTGACTAATTAAGCTTTATAGAGCCAATTTAAGTGTTATATTATAACAGTAATATCTATATATAATGAAGTTAAAAGGAAAACTATCAAACTTAAGTTGGCTTTACAAGTTTACGAATAATCTGTCGACTAACTGTATTTAAGCCGTACATTCGAAACATAACATTCGAACAACTGCACAGAAAACAACGTGATTTTTTTGCTGTTTTTAATGGATAATGGTACAGAACCCTTCATGCGTGATTCTGACTCGTACTTGGTCGGTTCTTTGTTATTAATTAATTTATGTTTTAAATTTATATAGCACAAACGAATAAAAAAAAGAAAGCTTAAATGTATTTCATTCTCTGATATCTATTTTACGTTTTATCTTTGAGCAATAGTAATGTTAGCGCCTATCTATTCAAGCTAAACTTTACATTTTTGCTATATATATATATATATATAATATATATATATATATATATATATATATATATATATATATTTTATCGATATTGCTCCTTACAACATTGATTGCCAAGCTTTAAATGCCGTCACATTGATTTAATAAGTGTCGATTGCGTGCGATACAATTTATGCCGCTTCTGTCAGTCTGGCCACATATCTCGCTGTCATTATAGTCCTTAGGTCGTAATGTATTTTCCTGTATTTGAGTACCGTTACACTAATTGTCCCACACATGTTGAGAAGCGCCGGCTCCTGATATGTGCTTACACACAGCCGCCCTTTCTTCATCTCAAAGATAATGTAATGTAAATATAAGGAACGGATTTGTGTTAAAAAAAAATTCGAGTAACTGTTGTGGGTTATGGTAAATACTTAAATAATTAATTTTAAAACAGTACATTGTTGAGGTTAAAATCCGCGTTTAAGTTTTTTTTTTTTTACCAAAACGACTTAAATTTCAGTTACTCTGAAAATTCAAATTAGTAACTATAAATGCAAAAATTATAAAAGATACAGTGATGATAGTGAAGAAATACGAAGACATACTATTTTGTTTGTGAAGATAACTAGATTACCAAATGGTAAATTTACCTTAATATAGCTTAATAGAGCCAACACAATAATTTGACCAA